GCCATTAACCACATATAAGTACGAACCCGCATATCATGAATACTCTGTGAAGGCAGTGATCACTTTCGACTCCGACATATGCTGGTCATCGCCCACTTTTTGTTTTCCCCGATAAGTGCCAATCTATAGGCCCCTGTTATTGCTATACTTTCGCCCAAAAGCCAGATATCTGCACATCAGATTTTGTCATATGTCATATTTTGTCAACAACAAACACCCACGAATATCTTACAACTGTCACATAGGCAGGATAGCATTTTACCTATAGTATTTGTACACGTTTTGGAGGTATTTGTATTGAATAAATTGGAATATGAAAATTCTATTTGTTGTGTTACGTGCCTACTTTTAACTATGGATGGAATAGATGCATATGGAGACGAAAAGTTCATGCTTGTCGTATAGGCAGGGTAGCATTTTACAAGTATTTGAACAGGTTTCCGTTGTATGTGTATTGAATAAATTGGAATATAAAGATACTATGTGTTGTTATTCCTTGATGCACCTCCCTATGGACTGCATATAGTCATGATGTACAAATGGACACAGTTGACAGAACGTGTTTAAAGCCCTTGCAAAGGCGTCCAAACCGTCGGAAGTAATTAATACAGTCATAATCTACAGTACTTGCTAGAGCCAAAATGCCACTGTCGTGTAGTCGCAACACCTATTCCGGTTGGGACAGAAATGCTTGGAACAAAATTGCTCCTTGGAACAAAATTGCTCCTTGGAACAAAATTGCTCTTTGGAACAAAATTGCTTGGAACAAAAACACGTCAAAATCTTGGAAGTAAATTGCTCTTTGGAACAAAATTGCTTGGATCAGAAATATGCCCAATTTGCATCATTTTGGATCAAAATTACCACCTTGGAGCAAAATTGCTTGGACGTAAGGTGATCATCTCGAAACATACCCGAAGGGCTTGGTGATAAGGCCATGACGGACGACGAGAAGCAGAGGAAACAATAGACCATTTCGCCCGAGCCCCACTCGAAGAACAAAAATACCGGAAGTCAAGGTAAAGAGTCACACAAAATAGAGGTTGGTTTGTCGTCAATGTAATTGACAATCTACTCTTCTCCGACCTAAATTTAGTCAAAAATATATTCTTACGGCACAAACCGCTTCAATTCAACGTGTTTAACGGCTAGGAGCGTTCCATATACTGCCCGACTTCCGGTATTTTTGTTCTTCGAGAGGTCGAAAAGCGCTCGGGTGAAATGGTGTATTGTAGAAACAAATGAATAAATGCAGAAACACAGTGACGCGGACTGGACCGACACACACACATACACACACGACGTGCGACCGCTCGCTTCCGATCTTGCTCCGTGACTGCTTGGCTCGGCGTTCCAGCGGACCAGCGTTGCCAACTTCTCGCCGCCAGAGGGCGGTACGGCAGGCTCCGCATTTCGGCCGCTATGGCGGTACGGAGGGAGTGGGGGCGCGCGCGTTTTTGAATGACCTTTTTTTTAGAAAATTGCCTACCTCGCAGGGGCAAACGGATGCTAATAAGGACTAGGCGGGCAAAATCTCTTTTATTTTAATCTACAAATTGAAAATCTATGTTCGGTTCTTCTTCCTCGTTGTCTCGCGACTTGTCCCGGCCGTACAGCGTCGCAGTCGTCATCTTGGCGAAGTGCGACGCGTCCGGCCGGAACGTCGCGCAGCAGCCCGGCCTCCACCGTGTTCCGTGTTCGTGATGAGCCTGTTGCGGGTCTTCGTTTTGACGAGATTTATCTTCGAAAAACATCTTTCGCACTGGGCGTTTGAGTGCGGGGACGACAGCGCCCGGAGGCAGAACAGGGGGAGGGTGTTGAATATCTGCTCCCCGCAAGCATCAGTGAGATGTAGCACCTCGGCCCAAAATTGGTCCGGCTCAGTCAGCAGCCCGCGAAGGTTGGCCGGCAGGGGGGTCAAGGCCCTTCGCAGGCACCTCCACTCCTCGCCCAGGCGGTCGAGGGTGTCGTCGTCTTGTGACACACAGCGCGGGAGCAGCCTGGCGAGGGGGAGGATGCTGTCCGGGCGGCGGGCTTCATCGAGGGCGACAGCTGGAGTGATGGCGTGCAGCTTCGCCAAGACCGGGTCCGCGAGGTCGTATCTCTTCTTTAATTCAATGGCACTTGCTATCATGAAGTTGCGTGCTCTTGTCTTGAAATCTTCGACTAGGTCAGGCCGGGCCAAGCAGGCCGGGCTCTCCAGCTGTCGCCGCACAGTCTGGCCGAGGTGCATTTCTGGGAGGGGCAGGAAGAGCGACGCATCAGCCGGGTTTACCTCATGCAGGGGCTTCCTCAGCAGCAGGGGCCTCTTCATGTAAATCAGCAGTAACTCCTCATACCCGGCACAGATTTTCTCATGCAGCACGGATATTAGAGTTTTTTCTGACTGAAAATACTCGTTTAGTCTTGTAAAGCGAGGAAGCACCCACTGCAAAAACAGTAGGTAGCCTTTTACAAACGGGTCTGACATAGATTTGTGAATTGTTTCGGGTGTTGTCAATCGTTGCCCCGGCTTGCTCGTTGCGGACTGGCTTGGTTGCCGCCGACGCCGCTGCGTGGCGCCACTTGTTCGGAACGATGGTGCTTGCCGCTGCGCAGCAGGCGCGCGCTTTTTGAAACGGAACGGGTTGGTGTGTTCCGTTACAGCAACTTAAGGTGCCCGACCCTGAAACCTGTGCAACTTAAGTCGCACACCTGCTGGACACCTTTTGGTTTGGCACCCCTTTTCCCTGCACAAAGGTCCAGGCCATGCCTATGAAGGGTGTCCTGATGTTAGGCACCCCCTGCCTGTGCCCCTCTGCAGGGGAAGGGCGCCAAACTACAAGGTGTCCTGCATCTATGCGACTTTAGTCGCACAGGTTTTAGGGTCGCGCACTTTAAGTCGCACAGTTGCTGGACACTCCGGATATAGTGTAGGCTTGCAAAACATATAAAGTTGGATAAAAATAACACCGGAGCTGACCTGTGTGCTACGGGCGCGTGTATCTACTCGCCCACCAGAGAACTCTGCGCAAGTGTCCAGTAGGTCCGCATAAGGTGAAGTCAGAGGAGGCTCCAAATCGAATGTTATTCCCCCCCCCC